GAGCGATTCAGCGATGATGTGAGACTTTGATAGGCTGGGGCTGTTTTCCTCAGAGAAGGCTGGGTTGTGGGGGGAGGGGGTGGCGGGGTGTTGGTGGTGGTCTGATTGACATCTGTAAAATTATGAGTGACATAGATAGAGTAGATAAGGATAACATTTTCCCCCTAGTAGAGGGGTCAGTTACCAGGAGGAGCAGTTTTAAGGTAAGGAGCAGGAATTCTAGAGGAAATGGGATCAAATGAAATCCCAAGGCTTTTTATACTAGGAGTAAGAGGATTACGAGGGAGAGGTTGGAACCTATTAGGGACCAAAATGGCCACCTGTGCGTGGAACCAATGGATGTGAGCGAGGTCTTAAAATGAATACTTCACATATTTTCACAGAAGAGAAAGACAATATAGCTGGAGATTTCAGTTAGGATGGTGAGGTTCTAGAACAATAAGATGCCCATGGTTTTGGGGCAAGGTGATAGCATGAATCGGGGATTGGTTGACTGCTAGAAGACAGAGTGTGGATAAAGGAGTCTTTTTCAGCATGGCAGCTGGTGGCTAATGGAGTTCTTCAGGTGTCCGTGTTGGGACCACAACTAATAACGTTTTACGTTATCTATCTGGATGAAAGAACTGAGGGCATTGTTGCTAAGTTTTTAGATGTCACAAAGATGGGTAGAGGGGAAGCAGGGAGGCTGCAGAGGGACTTGTACAGGCTAGCAGAATAGGCAAAGAAAAGGCAGGTGGAATATAATGTGGGAAAGTGTGAGGTTGTGCACTTTTGCAGGAAGAATAGAGGCATTTACTATTTTATAAATGGGGAAAGGCTTGGGAAATCTGAAGCACAAGGGGACTTGAGTGTCCTAGTTCAGAATTCTCTTAAGGTTAACATGCAGGTTCAGTTGGCAGTTAGGAAGACAAGTGCAATGTTAGCATTCATTTCAAGAGGGGCTAGGCTGCAAATGCAGAGATGTTCTGCTGAGGCTGTATAAGACTCTGGTTAGACCACATTTGGAATATTGTGAACAGTTTTGGGCCCCATTTCTAAGGAAGGATGTGCTAGTGTTGGAGGAAGTCCAGAGGAGGTTTACAAGAATGATCCCGTGGGTGAAGGCTTGCCATATGAGGAGTCGTTGAAAACGTGGGTCTGTACTCGAGTTTAGAAGGATATGCGGGGATCTGATTGAAACTTACATGATACGAAGAGGCCTGGATGGAGTGGAGAAGATGTTTTCATTAATAGGAGAGAGTACGGTCCAAAGGCAGAGCCTCAGAGGGAAGGGATACCCTTTAGAACTGAGATGAGAAAGAATTTCTTAGTCGGAGGTTGGTGAATCTGCCACAGCGGGCTATGGAAGCCAGGTCATTGAGAGTATTTAAGACAGATAGATAGGGTCTTGATTGGTAAGAGGATCAAAGGTTACAGGGAGAAGGCAGGAGAATGGAGTTGAGAAACCTATCTGCCATGATCGAATAGTGAAGCAGACGCAATGAGTCAAATTGGCCTAATACTGCTCCTATGTCTTCTGGTCTTATGGTCTAAAATCCAGTAGATGGCCTCCCTTCAATGACTATCATTTCCTCCGTGTGACAAGACCTGATTGATCCAAACCATTAAAATGTGGATCCTTCCGTTCCTGTTGGCTCTGTAATAATGCCATATCCAGCGATGAGAATTCATTTTTCATAAACAAATTGCATAATTACTGTGAGTCACTTGGAAACAGAAAATGCTGAACAATAATTACTGACATTTCATAAGCCATTTTTATTATTGGGGATTTTAATGTGGTAGGTGGAGTGTAAATTAATGTTGATAAATATTTTGGAATCCAACAGCTCCGAGTCAAGGAAAGTTGCCACTTCTTACAATGACATAACTCTTTATGGTGTGTTCTGTTTTTGTTTCTACCCAACGGTTTAGTGTTTCAGATACATGAAAACTGAGATGAATGGGTGTTCCTGATGATCGGGGAGTCTAGAACCCGGGGGGTGGCGGGTGGTGGGTGGAGGGGTGGGGGTGGTGGCGGTCGGTGGTCACAGGTTAAGGATACAGGGTGGGCCATTTCGGACTGAAATGAGGAGAAATGTCTTCGGCCAGAGAGTGATGTACCTGTGGAATTCTCTGCCACAGAAAGTGATTAAGCCCAAAACAGTAAAGATTTTTCAGAAAGAGTTAGATATAGTTTTTAGGGCTAAATGCGAGAACAGAGTTGGATGATAAGCCATGATCATGTTGGTAGTGGAATAGAACCAAAGGGCTGAATGTCCTATCCTGTTCCTGTTTTCTAAAAGAGCATCATTTATTCAATTTGCCTTTCACCATCGTGTGAATCAGAGTTATAATGGGACTGTCGGTGGATTATAGTGACTAATGGGACTGTTGGTGGATTATAGTGACTAATGGGACTGATGGCGGATAATAGTGACTAATGGAACTGTGGGCGGATTATAGTGACTAATGGGACTGAGGGCGGATTAGAGTGACTAATGGGACTGATGGCGGATTATAGTGACTAATGGGACTGA